ACACACACACTCAAACACACACACACACAAACACACAACAAACATTCTATACATACACACACACACACACACACACACACACACACACACACGATACACTCCATACATATGCACACATGATACATTCTATACACACACACACATACACGATACACTCCATACATATGCACACATGATACATTCTATACACACACACACACACACACGATACACTCCATACATATGCACACATGATACATTCTATACATACACACACACATACACGATACACTCCATACATATGCACACATGATACATTCTATCCATATACACACACTCGATACATTAAATACATAAACACACTATACATATACACTCACACAATACACTCCATACATTCTATAGATATACACACACACACATGATACACTCCATACATATGCACACAAGATACAGAACAAGTGAGTATGCTGAGGGTACACACAATTATTGACCCTCAGAAGTCATAACACCCAAACAGCTCCTGGAAAAAAGTAGGCATACGGAGTATACAAGCCATGACCACACCACTGATCTAGTCAAACATCATGTGCTGTCCTCATGGCAAAGAGAAAAGAAATCAGTCATTAGAAATGAGTTATTAAAACTGTTGTTCTGAAATATGTTGAGAAAAGGGGAGAACATCTCTTCAGCTGTATATTTAGTTGTATATGATGTATTTAATTTGAGTGCACTTACTTTGAAATGGTGATGATTTGATTCGCTTTTGAATGGTCATTTTGCAATAAATGCATTTCTCACATAGTTTTTTTTTTCCTGTGTGTTTGCAGGAGATCCAGCAGGAGACTGATATCCCGGAGAGAGAGCTGGTGCGGGCGCTGCAGTCTCTGGCATGTGGAAAACCCACGCAGAGAGTCCTCACTAAAGAACCCAAGTCTAAAGAGATCGAAAACGGACACGTTTTCACCGTCAACGACCAGTTCACCTCCAGACTACACAGAGTCAAGATTCAGACGGGTGACCTATTTGTTCAGTTTTTCTTAACCCTTGTGTTGCTGTTAGGTCATTTTCATTCACTCTGAGGGGTTTTTGAGGCTTAATTTGGCCACAACTTTCTCTGTGTTTCGGCAAATGGAATAAAATTTGCTGACAAGTTTTATTTTAACACATATTTTAGGAAAATGCTTTGAAAGTTTTTCGAAACCTCAACCTTACTCTCAAATTTACTACTCTTTTGCTATGTTTGGGGCTGTTTTTGACCCATTGACTAATTGACTTGACATCACCAAATCATGCATTGTTGATTACTGATATCATTCATTTATTTTCATTTTGGCTTAATCCATTAATCTGGGGTCACCACAGCGGAATGAACCGCCAACTTATCCAGCATATGGTTTTACGCAGCGGATGCCCTTCCAGCTGTAGGCCATCACTGGGAAACATCAATATGCACACATACACTACGGACACAATTCACCTACACCACATGTTTTTGGACTTCCGGAGGAAACCCATGCCAACACGGGAGAACATACATATACAATGCAAGAGAACATGCAAACTCCACATGGAAATGCCAACTGACACAGCCAGGGTGTGACCTTCTTGCTGTGAGGCGATTGTGCTACCCACTGTGCCATCATGCTGCCTGCTGTTATCACGATAACAGTGATTTTGAAGCTGTAGTTCAAACCAAACCAAATTAAATTGCAATAGTATCGTAAAGTACAATAGGAAACGCTTAATAAAATGAAATGTTGCGTTTTGACAATGATTTTTTAAAGTGTTTTTTATTGAACTGTTTGTCACATCTCTGCAGTTGCAGCCAAACAGGGAGAATCAGACCCTGAGAGGAAGGAGACGCGGCAGAAAGTGGACGATGACCGTAAACATGAAATTGAAGCGGCAATTGTCCGAATTATGAAGTCAAGAAAGAAAATGCAGCACAACGTTCTAGTAGCAGAGGTATGGAGCCTGAGTTTGTACACCAGTAGCATTTATAATATATTCACACACAGTTGAAGTCAGAATTATTCAGCCCCCTGTATATTTTTGTCCTCAATTTCTGATTAATGGAAAGGAAGTTTCATCAAATTTCTAAACATAATATACTTAATAGTTACTATACTTAATAGTTAATATACTTAAAATTACGATTAAAGTTGTTTTTTGTGAGATTGGGCTGGAATAACTGTAATGATGTAAATGGTTATGGAGAGCTAGGTCAACAACTTAAAAATAAATTAGCTATGAATAAATTAGCTATCAATTAGCTAGTTTTCTCAAAATACGTAAAATTATGATTAAAATTAAGTTACGTTTTTTGTGAGATCGTGCTGGAATAACAACTTAAAAATAAATTAGCTATTTTTCTGAAAATACGTAAAATTACGGTTAAAGTTAAATTACGCTTTCTTGTGAGATCGGGCAGGAATAACAGTGTAATGATGGAAGTGTTTATGAAGAGCTATATCAACTTAAAAATAAATGAGCTGAATGAGCTATTTTTCTGAAAATATGTACAGTTATGATTAAAATTAAGTACGTTTTCTTGTGAGATCGGGCAGGAATAACAGTGATGGAAGAATTAATGGAAAGCTATGTCAGCCATTAAAAATAAATAGCTTAATTAGCTACTTTTCGGAAAATACGTAAAATTACAATTAAAGTTACTTTACGCTTACTTGTGAGATCGGTCTGGAATAACAGTGTGATGATGTAAGTGTTTATGGAGAGCTACATTAAAATACGTAAAAATAAATTACCTATGAATTAGCAATTTTTCTGAAAATATGTACAATTACGATTAAAGTTAAGTGCGTTTTCTTGTGAGATCGGGCCGGAATAACAGTGATGGTGGTAGTGTTAATGGAGAGCTCGATCAACAACTTAAAAAATTAGCTGAATTAGCTATTTTTCAGAAAATACGTAAAATTACAAATAAAGTTATGTTACGCTTGTGAGATCGAGCTGGAACATCAGTTTGATGATGTAAATTTGAAGTTAAGTTATGTTTTCTCGTGAGATCGGGCTGGAATAACAATGGAATGATGGTAGTGTTTATGGAGAGCTAGCTAAACAACTTAAAAATAAATTAGCCATGAATTAGCTACTTTTCTCAAAAAACGTAAAATTACGAATAAAGTTAAGTTACGATTTCTTGTGAGATCGGGCTGAAATAACAGTGTAATGATGGTAGTGATTATGGAAAGCTAGGTCAACCACTTTAAAAACATTAGCTATGAATTAGCTACTTTTCGGAAAATGCATAAAATTACAATTACATTTTTTTTACGTTTTCTTGTGAGATCGAGCTGGAATAACAGTGTGATGATATAAATGTTTATAGAGAGCTAGGTGAACAGCTTAAAAATAAAAGAGCTAAATTTGCAATAAATTGGCTACTTTTTTGAAAATATGTAAAACTACGATTAAAGTTACGATCATGTTGTCTTGTGAGATTGGTCTAGAATAACTGTGATAGTGGTAGCAGTAGCGTTTATGTTAGCTATGAAATAACTATTTGGAAAGTACGTAGAATTACGATTAAAGTTGTTTTACGTTTTCTTGTGACATTGAGCTGGAATAACAGTGTAATGATGTAAGTCTATATGGAGAGGTAGGTCAACAACTTTAAAATATATTTAAGTTGAATTAGCTATGAAATTAGCCTTTTTGAAAATGCATAAAATTATTATTTAATTTAGGTTACGTTTTCTCATAAGATCAGTCTTGAATAACAGTTTGATGATGGAAGTGTTTATGGAGAGCTAGCTCAACTTGAAAATAAATTATCTACATTAGCTACTTTTCCGAAAATATGTAAAATTATGATTGAAGTCAAGTCATTCCAGCAATTTTTTAGTTACTGAAAATACAAACAGTTATGATTAAAGTTAAGTTACGTTTTCACGTGAGATTGCGCTGTAAAACAATGTAATGATGGTAGAGTTTATGGAGAGCAACGTCAACAACTTAAAAATAAATTAGCTGAATTAGCTATGAATTAGCTACTTTTCTAAAAATACGTAAAACTACGATTAAAGTTACGATTATGTTTTCTTGTGAGATCGTGCTGGAATAGCAGCAAAATGATGGTAGTGAATATGGAAAGCTAGATCAACCACTCTAAAAAAATTTTGCTGAATTAGCTATGAATTAGCTACTTTTCAGAAAATACGTAAAATTATGATTAAAGTTGTGTTACGTTTTCTTGTGAGATCGGGCTGGAATAACAGTGTGATGATGTAAATGTTTATGGAGAGCTATGTCCACAACTTAAAAAATAAATTAGCTGAATTAGCTACTTTTTGAAAATACGTACAACTACGATTAATGTTACGTTTGCTTGTGAGATCGGGCTGGAATAAAAGTGTGATGATGTAAATGTTTATGGAGAGCTACGTCAACAACTTAAAAAATACATTAGCTGAATTAGCTATGAATTAGCTACTTTCTGAAAATACGTACAACTACGATTAAAGTTACGTTTACTTGTGAGTTCGGGCTGGAATAACAGTGTGATGATGGTAGTGTTTATGGAGAGCTACGTTAAAAACTTTAAAAACTATTAAAGTGTTGAATATTACACTTTTTGTTTTCGTTATTTGACATTTGTTATCAGAACTAACAGAAACTTGTGTGTTTTGTTTTTCTGTAGGTAACCCAGCAGCTGAGGGCGCGATTCCTTCCAAGTCCTGTGGTCATTAAAAAACGTATTGAAGGACTTATTGAGAGAGAATATTTGGCGAGAACGCCGGAGGATCGCAAAGTGTACACATACGTAGCATGAACAAGGAGCGAAATCAAATCTGAAAGAGCGAGTGAGAGCGAGCAAACCTTTTTTTTTGTTGTTGTTTTATTTTTTTTTACACCCTCACATATCCGTTTTTTTTTCTTTGCCATTTTTGTCAATTGTGCTGGGAATAAACTGGGAAGAAAACCCTCGACTTGTTTTAAAATGTTCTTACCGATTCCCGCCAGGCTTTCCACTGGATGCGATTCAAAGACTTTTACAGAAGGTGTTGCTGGTGTCTGTGAGAGAAATTATTATTTTCTTTTTTATTTATTTTATTATATTATTTTGTGCGTGTGGGTGGGTGCATGTATGTGTGTGTGTGTTTGTGTTCTTGTAATTCTACATACAAATTAATGAATTCGCACATTTTCCCAGTAGATTCCAAGATCAATCATGTTATTGAGTTGTTTTTTCCCCATTGTGTTTTTTTTTGGGCGTCCCCCTTCTTATGTCTGTGAAAGTGTGCATTTCTGTGCGCTTTAGAGGTTATGTTTGGTTCAAAGTAAGCTCTTATTGAACACAGATTTAACATTTACACGACAAATAAAAAGTTGTTTTTTTCCCCTTTCCATTTCTCTCTCTCTCTCTCTCTCTCTCTCTCTTTTAATGTCTAATATGGCCAATTGTAAAAAACAAAGGCGTTTTATTTTAAAAGGGCTCTCGATTGCGGTTTAAAGAGGGATGCGGGATGCAGTTTGTGTTATCAGCATTATTGTATTTCATTGTGTATAAATTGTAAGATAATTGTTATTGTACTCTATGCTGAAGTGAACTGTACAGGGCCTCGTTTTCATCATTAAATGTAGAAAAAGAACGAAAAAAAGATAATAAAAGCACTGGCCATTTTGGGTCAAACTGTTTGTCTTGCTTTCATCTATTTTTTGCCATGAGGGAAGTTAAAACGTGTGAAATTACACCAGACTAGTACCAGGTTGCAGTGGCGCCCCCAGAAAATTTTCTTAGGGGTGGCCAGAAGAGGCCGCTCCAAATCTTGGGGTGGCACACAAAAAAAATAATGAATTCAGTGTAATGTTATATTTTTGTTTCTGGTAAATGAAATAATGTAGTTTTATTCATTTAATTAATTCTAGCTACTTGAAATATTGCAATTTATTCTTTGAAATAATTCAGCAAGTACATGTGCAAACCAAATAAAAATCTATGTTTAGTTTAAAAACACTTTTCATATACTGTATAAATGACTTCTTTTTTTACGTGCCTTTATTGTACATCATACGAGATATGCCATGTCTAAAATTAATGAAGATTAATGAGTTTATTATTCCCAGTGATGGGTTGCAGCTGGAAGGGCATCCGCTGTGTAAAAATGTGCTAGATAAGTTGGCGGTTCATTCTGCTGTGGTGACCCTGGATTAATAAAGGGACTAAGCCGAAAAGAAAATGAATGAAAGAATAATGAGTTTATTAATTACCCAAACAAATGAACAAACTGAACAAAAGGCATTACTATACACACTCACTATACCTAATAATATTATTTATCCATATTGCTTTTTGAACCATTTTATTAATGCAGCTTCTTCTATTGATATACTGTAGCTTAAGGTAAATATTAAATAGCCATTGCTGTCTATCGGGGAGGGTAGTGGTGGTTCTAGTTTAAATGACACCCTGGGCGAACCACCCTATACACCCCCACCTCTCTTGAATTGTTAAATTTGTTATTCAATAAATATAACAATTTATTTATATTTATTCTAAATAAATACAATTAATATTAATATACAATTATTATTCTAAATAAATAACAGAAATCAGTCCTAAATATTACTGGAAAACAACAACTGGAGTGATATGCCAACATCACTTAAGAAACCTTTTGCATGAAAATTAATTATGACAATTCTAAAGAATACAAAAAATGTATTATAGAATTATCTGTGGTCTTAGACCAGATCATGGCTGAGAAATCATGTTATGAAGTCTTACCTCCCTGACTCATTATCCCTCCTTTCTGCTTTAAAGACATGCTTAGTGAAAGTAACATCATCATCATCATCATCATTATATAATATAAACTTTAAACGACTTTCAAAACTCGCTGCGTGCCGACACTTCTGCACAAAAGGCTGTTACTCCGGTTTCACGGCGCATGAGCGGTGCCTATTATGTCGGCGTGCATGCAAACAACCAACCGGGATTCACACAGGAGTGCGTGAGGCGCGCGGGAATGGTTTTCCGCGCGCATGCGTCAGTTTGCTTTCACCAGCATTGAACCAGAGGGGGAGAGCTACGTCAGTAACACCAACAATAATTTAGTGACTGCATTTTATTTATTTATTTATGTATTTATTTATTTATCTAAATATTGGGAATTTATAAGTTCATTTAAATCAATAATGTCAACCGCAAAATTATATTGGGGTGGCCAAAGGGGTGGCCAGAGTTTACCGAGGGGTGGCCGTGGCCACCCCTGGCCACCCCTTGGAGGCGCCCCTGCCAGGTTGGACCTCCTTTTGCCTTCAGGACTGCCTTAATGCTTTGTGGCCCGATCCACCACATCCCAAAGCTGCTTTATTGGATTGAGCTCTGGTGACTGTGGAGGCCATTTGAGTACAGTGAACTCATCGTCATGTTCAGGAAACCAGTCTGAGATGATTGAGCTTTATGACATGCTGCGTTATCCTGCTGGAAGTAGCCATCAGAAGATGGAGACACTGTGCTCATAAAGGGATGGACATGGTCAGCAGCAATACTCAGGTAGGATGTGGCGTTGACAAGATGCTCGATTAGTACTAAGTGGGCCAAAGTGTGCCAAGAAAATCTCCCCCACACCATTACACCACCACCAGCCTGAACCGCTGATACAAGGCAGGATGATCCATGCTTTCATGTTGTTGAGGCCAAATTCTGACCCGAGCATCCGAATGTGTCAGCAGAAATGGAGACCCATCAGAGCAGCAACGTTTCTCCAATCTTCTATTGTCCAGTTTTGGTGAGTCTGTGTGAATTGTAGCCTCAGTTTCCTGTTCTTAGCTGACAGGAGCGGCACCCGGTGTGCTCTTCTGCTGCTGTAGCCCATCCGCCTCAAGGTTGGACGTGTTGTGTGTTCAGAGATGCTCTTCTGCAGAGCTCGGTTGTAACGAGTGCTTATTTGAGTTACTGTTGCCTTTCTATCAGCTGGAACCAGTCTGGCCATTCTCCACTGACCTCTGGCATCAACAAGGCATTTGCACCCACAGAACTGCCGCTCACTGGATATTTCCTCTTTGTCTGAGCATTCTCTGTAAACCCTAGAGATAGTTGTGCGTGAAAATCCCAGTAGATCAGCAGTTTCTGCAATACTCAGAGCAGCCCGTCTGGCACCAACAACCATGCCACGCTCAGAGTCACTTAAATCCCCTTTCTTCCCCATTCTGATGCTCACTCTAAACGTCTCGACCATGTCTACATGCCTAAATGCAGTGAGTTGCTGCCATGTGATTGGCTGATTAGAAATGTGTGTTAACAAGCAGTTGGACACTAATAAAGTGGCCGGTGAGTGTATAATGGATGTATGAAATCTATTGTCCTCAAGTAAACAAAAAAACTGCCACAATAAAAATGTCTTGTCATTAAAAATAATTTTAGCATTAATAAATATTAAATTATTATATTTACATTTTTAAATTTAATTTCAGGCAGCTACGCAACAGATTTTGAGCCCCCCTTAAGCAATATTAGATTTAGATAGTCTACAGAACAGACCTCTGTTAAACAACGACTTGCCTAATTACCCTCCCAATTACCCTAGTGAAGCCTTTAAACGTCACTTTAAGCTGAATATTAGTGTCTTGAAGAATATCTAGTCTAATATTATGCGCTGTCATCATGACAAAGAGAAAACAAATCAGTTATTAGAAATGAGTTATTAAAACTATTATGATTAGAAATGTGCTAAAGAAATCTTTGTTTAAAAAAATGGAGAAAAAATATACCGTGGGGCTTCTTCAACTGTATATAACCTATATATATTTTTTTTTTCTAAGGTGGCTAATAATATTGACCTTAAAATCTTTCTACTTGACTGCTTTTATTCTAGCCAAACTAAAAGAAATAATACTTACCCCCAGAAAACAAAAAGAGTAAATACTATGGAATTTTCCACATCACTTGAAAAATATTTGACTTCATAAATAATTTGGCTAATAATTTTGACCTCAGCTCTACATAAATCACGCTACTATTAGTACAATCAAACCCCCCTCTACCATCTTTAATTGGTGAATTTTGCAGTCTGATGATGACAGCCATCTGCTGGGGTTCAGTCCCCCTATTGTCAGAACTGAAGCCCTTCCCCCGACTCCAAACCACCGCTCATTTTGCAGCCGAGTTCTCCAAATACACACGATGTGCTAACCTTGAGATAAAACACAACGCTGCAGCACTCGTGTTTAATGTGTTTATGTACAGTACACCGGATTATCATGAATTATAAACGCTGAGGTGACGTCAGGGTGAACTCGACTCTTACGGACTCCTTTTCCTTGACCAGTCGGACTTTCTCTGAGGTAAAACCGCACTACTTTATTATGTTTATTACTTTATTGTGTGCTCTGTTATGACTTCACGTTGAGTTAGCGGACAGGGCTAAACAACATCCACATCCACTCACTTTATGTATGTGTGTGTGTGCGTGTTTGCGTCTCCATGCAGGAGAAACACATAGCAACCGACGGTGGCGTGTGTTTAATGACGTCAGCAGCACCACAAACATCTTTTATCGTCATAATATGCCTCTTTCGTTGCGGTAAGCAAGTTTATAAAACGTTAGTAGTGTTTTGGCTACATCATCCGAATTAGCCGTGTAGTTTGTATCCAGACCGCGAGCATTTGTTATATGTTTGAATTAAACGTGATAGTTTTGTAACAGACTGTGGCGTGTGCTTTATGACGTCAGCAACATCGTAAACATCGTTTTATCGTTATAAAATGTTTATTTCGGTGCGGTTAGCATGTCAAATGATGGTGTTTTAAGTTAGCTACATAATCCAACTTCAGTCCAGAATAATCCAGACCATCAACATTTGTATCCAGTAAAATGTATTATTTGTCACGTTTAAATTAATTAAACATGATGGTTACATCCAGGGCTTGACATTAACACCTGCCAACCAGCCAAATGCGGGTAGATTTTAGCTGAAGCTGGTTATTTTATTTATTTATTTATTTTTATTAATGCTTAAAGAACAACATTTAGAACAATACAAGAAGAAATGGAGGAAAAACACACACACACACACACACAAAATAATAATAATAAATGTCATACATAGTTTTATGTATAAAACATATGTTTAGTTTTATGTATACAGCTATATTTTGCTTGCTTTGACACATTATTTAAATTTTGTGGTGAGGAAATAATTAGTTCGGTGTGGCCAGAGAAAAAAATAAATTGTAAATCTTTAGTGTTGAGCCGGGCGAGGCAGTGGCGCAGTAGGTAGTGCTGTCGCCTCACAGCAAGAAGGTCGCTTGTTCAAACCTCGGCTCAGTTGGCGTTTCTGTGTGGAGTTTGCATGTTCTCCCTGCCTTCACATGGGTTTCCTCTGGGTGCTCCGGTTTCCCCCACAGTCCAAAGACATGCGTTACAGGTGAATTGGGTGGGCTAAATTGTATGTGTGTGTGTGTGGATGTTTCCCAGAGATGGGTTGTGGCTGGAAGGGCATTTTATTAAGGTGCATCCATATAAATGGCCCACTGCTGAGACTGCAGTTCTGCACAAGACTTTTGGCCAGCGGAGAAATTAAAATGGTCTTGCCCAACTGAGTCTCGTTCTCTCAAGGTTTTTTTTCTTCACTCACCTATCAGTGTTTTTTTCCCTCTCCGCTGTCGCCTCTGGCTTGCATGGTTCAGGATTGGTAGAGCTGTGCATCGATGGATTTGCTCTTCAGTGTTTGGACTCTCAGTAATGACTTTAAAGCACACTGAACTGAGCTAAACTGAACTGAACTTAAACACTAAAAACTGAACTACTCAGATCCAGTGACTATGACCATTTATGTGAAGCTGCTTTGACACAATCTACATTGTAAAAGCGCTGTACAAATAAAGCTGAATTGAACTGAATATTAGATGAGTCAGTACCAAAGACAAATCTAAAGCTCATCTAACAAATAACTGAGGATCCCCTGCCAAATGATGTTATATCTCTGTCTGTATTTCAGCTGACCTCATGGCTAACCCCGATACAGATTTGCTCCTGGTCACCATGCACTTGCTGACCAACCCCGGCGACTCTCTCCTACTCCAGCACACCCTTGACTGCCTCCTGAAGTGGGTTCGTCCGGGTCTCAGACTCTTCCACGTGTCTGAGCGGGCCTGTCCCATCCATGCCTATGACAGAACCAACCTGTGCCCTGCATCCGGCTACCCGTCACATGCGGTGACCATATTCCTGCACGAGTCCTACGGAGAAGAGCGTATTCTTAGGGTGCTGGAATTTCTGCAGTGTCCACCCTGGCAGTATCATCACACTGAAAGCTGCGGTGCTAAAGAGAGCGGAGTTTATATTACATCCAGCAGCACCCTACTGAAGCCCTACTTCATGCCCAGCCGGGACTACTACAGCCTGGGCACTGGAATGCCGGTGTGGGGGGTGCGGTCGGTGCACTACGGAGAGGAGTTAGTGCGCGTGACTTTGCACAGTAGCTTTGATAACTATGAGGACATCGTGCGTTTATATGAGACGGTCCTGCAGAAGAGGGCGGAGGAGCAGAAACCGGGCTTTTGCTGGTTTACTCTGCTTGCAGAACAAGGGTTTAGCCTGCAGTTGGCCATCAAGCAGCTCTCGCCGGGGGTCCGCGTGGAGCCTTGCCAATCCGCCGTGCTGCAGTTTAGAGTGCGAGAGATCGGACAGCTTGTCCCCTTGCTGCCTAACACCTGCTCGCCTATCAGTGCTACCCGATGGCACACTGAAGACCTGGACGGGAACAAGATCCTCTTTCAGGTAGGTCAGCACTTTCTACTGTAGGAAAGGCAGAATTATTCATCCTCTTTTTCAGATGTTTCCCAAATGATGTTGAACAGATTTAGGATTTTTTCACAGTATTTCCTCTAATATTTTTTCTTCTGGAGAAAGTCTTATTTGTTTAATTTCGGCTATGATAAAAGCAGTTCTTAAATTTTTTAAAAGCCATTTTAAGGCTAATATTATTAGCCCCCTTCAGCAATATTAGTTTTGGATTGTCTCCAGAACAAACTGACTGACACAATGCGATTTATTACTGAAATTGTAAACAATATTTATAATACAATTATTAAACAGGGTGTCCGCGGGGTCTTAAAATGTAAATTTTAGGCTTTAAAACGTCTTAAATTAACACAAATATAGTGTTGTAGGTCTTAAATCCCACCCAGTCAGACTGACGACATTCATCCAGTCACCAACAATACATTCATTTTCTTTTCTTAGTCCTTTTATTAACCAGGGGTTGCCACAGTGGAATGAACCGCCAACTTATCCAGCATATGTTTTATGCAGTGGACGCCCTTCCAGCTGCAACCCAAAACTGGAAAACACTCATACACTACGGCCAATTTAGTTAATCTATTCCCCTATAGCGCATGTGTTTGGACTGTGGTGGAAACCGGAGCACTCAACGGAAAGAACATGCAAACTCCACACAGAAATGCCAACTGACTCAGCTGGAACTCCAACCAGCCTTGAAGCTGTGAGGCGATCGTACTACCCACGATAATTGTTTTAAAAAATTAAAAACTGCTTTTATTCTAGCCGAAATAAAATAGATAAGACTTTCTCCAGAAGAAAAAATATGATAGGAAATACTGTGAAAAACTCCTGAATCTGCTCAACATCATTTGGGAAATATTTGAAAAATATTCAACTGTATATATTTGATCTTTCATATAATTGTGCCTTTAATAATAAATATACATTTAATAATGTTCAACTTGTCTTTTTTGACACATTAACATGGATATGAAATAACTACATTAGATTTTTTGTTGTTGTTGCAGAAAGCAAAAAACAAAACAAAAAAAAACAACAACCGGGATATTAGAAATAAAATCCTCAATGGCTAGCCCTGTACAAGTCTAAAAATCCATTTATAATGGTCTTAAAATTAATTAATTCATTCATTTCTTGTCGGCTTAGTCCCTTTATTAATCTGGGGTCGCCACAGTGGAATGAACCGCCAACTTATCCAGCAAGTTTTTACGCAGTAGATGCCCTTCCAGCCGCAACCCATCTCTGGAAAACATCCACACACACTCTCATACACTACAGACAATTTAGCCAACCCAATTCACCAGTACCGCATGTCTTTGGACTGTGGGGGAAACCGGAGCACCCGGAGGAAACCCACACGAAGGCAGGGAGAACATGCAAACTCCACACAGAAACGCCAACTGAGCCGAGATTCAAACCAGCGACCCAGAGACCTTCTTGCTGTGAGGCGAACGTGCAACTCACTGCGCCACTGCTTCGCCGGTCTTAAAATTGTCTTAAAAAGTCTTAAATTTGACTTGATGAACCTGCAGAAATCCTGTTGAAGTAAATGCACAAAAAAGACAATTATTTCATGATAACTGACACTGAATGCACAGCCCAAGTTTAGCCCAGCCATCTGTGTTTAGACTTCTTTTAAACGCATGGAAAAAAAGCATGCTGGGGTTGAATGGATGTTCAGTTTTTTGGGCAGGTATAAGTAGGGCCGGACAGAATCTGCAGACATTTCTATTTGGTTCATTTTTAATTGTAAACCCTGCAGATTTATGCAGAGTGGTTTTGAGAGTAAACAAAAAACAACTAAAACATGAAATAAAAATAACTTTTATTGAAGGTTTAAATGGCAAATCCAGTTAGATTCACTTGTTTGGTAAAGCAAAGCAAGTCTCATATAACAGATCTACTAAAGACAGAAGACATTACATCCTATAAACATTTGCATATCAGTCAATAATATTACTGAAACCAATATATAATCGGGTGGCGCAGTGGGTCATTTGGCATTTCTGTGTGTTTGCATGTTCTCCCCGTGTTGGCGTGGGTTTCCTCCGGGTGCTCTGGTTTCCCTCACAGTTTAAACACATGTGCTATAGGGGAATTGATCAACTAAATCGGCCGTAGTGTTTGAGTGTCTCCCAGTTTTGGGTTGCAGCTGGAAAGGGCATTCACTGCAGAAAACATATGTTGGATAAGTTGGCGGTTCATTCCACTGTGGCGACACTAAATTAATAAAGGAACTAAGCAGAATGAATATGAATATAGCTAAATGAAAATGAATAATTACCCCAACACTGCTAATGAATCATGCCTTCTTCCACTCCTCCAGGTGAAACCTCCAGCTCAGCCCCAGGCCTCCCACACCTCGGCTTTCCCCCTGAGTGGCGCCAGTCTTCCCTCCAGAATTCGGCTGCGGAGCTCCGGTGCCTCCAGACCCTCCACATCTCCCTGCAGGACACCATCTCATATGAAGGAGCAGATGACGGGACGCTCTTGTGTGGATCTGCTGGAGCCCCGTGTGCTGAGATCGGGGACGTGTGGAGGAGAGAGTATGGGTTCAGACGGGGCGGGCAGCACTCCTCCGGGAAGCTCCTGTTACTCGTCCCAGCGCAGTAGCCCTGCAGGCCTGTCCGCTAGCTGGTATGAGCCAATGATGGCCTCTGAATCCTCCATACCCTGCCTCTTGCTGGAGGAGGAGGAGGAGGATTCGGAGACTAATGTGGACACGGGCTGTGCCGTACACACACAGTCCGCTCTGGTGACTCTGAGTAGAGACCTGAGACACGGCCTGGAGGAGGCAGAAAACTCAACAAGTATTTTAACAGAAACACAGAACTCACAGAGCCGCCGTCTGCATGCTCAAGTAGATGAGTTCTTCATTTGACTCTTTACATTAAGGGGCCGTTCACATAATGTAACGAAGGCCAGCTAGTAAGTGCTGTGCAGGTAAACATCACTCCTCTGACCTCTAAAGATGCTCTAGCGACTGATGCTAGAGGCCGTGGCCTTTAGCCTCCTTGTTAGAGCAACTGACTCCCATGCGGAAGGTTGCTGGTTCGATACCAGCTCGGAGCGGGGTTGGGTGGCGTAGGACTGGCGGGGTTACACATGCGAAAGTGCATTATTCCCAATGGAGGCAGGTGGCTTGCATTCTCCAATCTCATCTAGCTGCATTTCAGTACTGTTTTATATGCCCTTCACTCGCTAACTTCCCATGGATGTACGTCATTGATTAAGGTACACAAGCGTGCACTACTGGCGAAGCATCTGAATGGGGTTTAATGGAATGCACTATACCAGCGGTCACCAAACTTGCTCCTGGAGGGCCGGTGTCCTGCAGATTTTACCTCCAACCCTAATCAAACACACCTGAACAAGCTAATTAAGGTTTTAAAACGTATACTAGAAACACCCAGGCAGGTGTGTTGAGGCAAGTTGGTGCTAAAACCTGCAGGGACACCGGCCCTCCAGGACCGAGATTGGTGATCCCTGCACTAGACCCCTGAGCACTTGGGAACTACACTGTTGTGACCGTGTCACATTGCATTCTGGGACATATATGTTGGAGTGGACATATGAAGCCGACTCTCTCCCTGGGTCAAAATTGTCTAGCGTATGTAAACGTAAACTTCCCTTGTTCACTTCATGAGGGGAATCACACATTAATGACTCGTTTCCACTGACTGGTACAGTACAGTACGGTTTGGGTCGGGTCTCCTTTATCAGGCTTGCATTTCCACTACCAAGGGTACCCTTTGGTGGGCGTGGTGTCTGACAAAGTTTCAGTCACATCATTCTCGCTCGAGGAAATGTCTGCAATAAAGCTGCACAGGTCGTTCACATATCATAATGAGCAGCACTTCTCACAAAACAGATGCTTTACACACATAAATACTTCTGTATATATGTTTAATACTTACTGTTCTATGAACATGATTATAACTGCAGATCAATGACAGCGCAAAATTGCCTGCTGTCTGTAATTATATAAAATAAATAAATAAATGAACATATATGAACAAATACAGCCCCTTATAGTCACCGATATGATACCAACTACAGAAGAACTACACACAGCAGACATTTAGTCCTTATTTAGGCTCAAAACAACACAAAGTATAGCCTACAGTCAGTGAAAACCTCTCATCTGTGTCTGAAATCTTCAGCAGCACATGTAGCCTCTGTTAGAGAGTCACTCCATCATTCTAAGTTCATATTAGTCCAAAAGGTGATGATAAAAATTAAAGCAGTTTGTTCATGTTTGCTGGAGAAATAATGTGCTCCTTTTTTCCGGCTTCTCCTTTGTTTTTTCGCGCGTCACTCTCGCGTTTGTCAGTGTCTGACAGGATCGGGTTTCAAAAGCACGCCAATAATCAAGCGCACGTTATTATCATGAGCTCAAGAAGTTTGTTATTTCAGATATAGACGCGCGGCGAGCGCAAGCAAGAAAGCGAAACCACTCGAAATTCAGACTGGCTCGTAAAAAACTAAGGGGCACAGGGTGAATTCTGCTCTTCTTTTTGGCTTTGTGACTGTTCAAGACGTCGACACGGTTTGTTTGAGCCCGGATTGACCATGGCTCATTATTATATGCATATCGCTGTAATCTCTCGCTGTGTATTTCAAACATGGCGGGTCCTTTGTTTAAATTCTGGCTTGTTGCGTAAGCGAATGACGTATCTCTGTAAACCAATAGCGTTCAGCTGCGCTTCTAGCTCCGCCTTTTAGTACCCTATCTTGTGTTTGGGACCCTTTTGAAAGGGTGCCGAAAAAGTGGTACGGTACGGTTTGGTACGCCTTTTGACAGTGGAAACGGCCATAAAAGCGTACCGAACCATACCGTACCATTCAGTGGAAACAGGCCATAAAAGGTTCAAGAAACCCTGAAGCACAGTTTTTGAGATTGATTAACTAAATTGTCCTTAGTGTATGTGTGTGAATGAGTGTGTATGGATGTTTCCCAGAGATGGGTTGCAGCTGGAAGGGCATCTGCTGAGTAAAACATATGCTGGATTAGTTGGCGGTTCATTCCGCTGTGGCGACCCCAGATAAATAAAGGGACTAAGCTGAAGAAAAATGAATTAATGAATGAAATAATTTTGCTTTCCAAAAATCAAACTACTGGTTTTAAAAAGTGTCTTTAGACTTGAAACAAGACAAAACCTTTAAGTAAAAAATTTATTTTTCCAGTGGAAATGATGACAGATTTAAATTTTTTTTTGAGTGATCTCTTTAACAATCCATTTTATACTTTATTCAGTCATATATCCTGAAAGTGCGAGCATTCCCTGTAGCTTTTTTGCTAAATACACAACCAAAAACATATCATTTAAATATAATTCTTTAGAATATATAATCAAATTAATTTCCCAGTGAGGGGTTGCAGCTGGAAGGGCATCCGCTGTGTAAACGTGCTGGATAAGTCGGCGGTTCATTCCGCTGTGGCAACCCCGGATTAATAAAGGGAGTAAGCCGACAAGAAAATAGTAAATGTTGGTTTTAGTGTGAATGATCCCTTTAATACTGTAAATAAATGCAGTTTGTCTCCCTCTTGTGGTCACAGTAGCTCCTTGTCCTGTAATGATATTTTCCCTAGTTTTCGTTTCCCACATCAGCAGATTATTTAGCTTGTTTTAAGAGAAACATGACTTCTTTTGTATGCATTATACGTATCACAGCTCATTGTCCAGTAATGATGGAGTTTTCTGGCAGCCGATCCACTGCAGGCTGTCTGCCCACCGTCCAGCCGCAGTAATGCGCAGCTTCCCAATGTCTAACCTCCAATACTGCTGCTCTTTAAAGAAATAAAGCATCCCGTCAGGCCTTGTCAGGGCCCCGTTTACCTCTCGCGGGACCCCCTTCCAGTCCCTCAGAGGACGAGGGTAGTACAGCTCCATGCTGAGAGACCTGGGGTTCAGGACGAGGTAGCGGGATCCTTTAAAGAGCACCAGTTGACCCAGAGGCTGGTAAAAGAAGGCACAGTCTACGTGTTTAGGCAAACCCAATGCACTGCTCCTCTTGGGGAATCCAGGGTCCAGATTAGATCCGGAGTAACGCCACATCCGACGTCCTGACCAGGAGAACAAACAAAAGAGACGCGTTGAAGAAATGCATCATTAACCCTTGTGTGCTGTTGGGTCGTGTTCATCCACTCTGGCCGGATTTTGAGTCTCAATTTAGCTACAACTTTCTCTGTGTTTTAGCAAATGGGGGGATTTTTGGCAACAAATCTTATTTTGGTGCATATTTTAGGGGAAATGCTATGGGTTTTCAAAAACTCAACAACACACTCAAATTTACTACCCTTTCCTTTGTCAACATTGATATGAAAATAAGCCGCTCAGAACACAGTCAACACAGTGAGTGTACACCCACCGGCCACTTTATTAGGTACACCTGTCCAACTGCACATTAACGCAAATTTCTAATCAGCCAATCACATGGCAGCAACTCAATGCATTTATGCATTTAGACATGGTCAAGACGATCTGCTGCAGTTCAAACCGAGCATCAGAATGGAGAAGAAAGGGGATTTAAGTGACGGATGGTCGGAATTTGGTGCCATCATCATGAAAGCATGGATCCATCCTGCCTTGGATCATCAGCGGTTCAGGCTGGTGGTGGTGGTGTAATGGTGTGGGGGAGATTTTCTTGGCATAAAGCATCTCAAACTGGTTTCTTGAACATGAAAATTAGTTCACTGTACTCAAATGGCGGAGGAAATCCACACGTACACGGGGAGAACATGTAAACTCCACACAGAAATGCCATCTGACCCAGCCAAGGCACCAGCAACCTTCTTGCTGTGAGGTGATCGTGCTACCCATTGCACCATCGCACCGTACAAATTAGCAAGGATTATTTTACAGTACACACACAGCAAAAAGGTCACTGGTTCGAGTCCCTGGGTCAGTTGGCGTTTCTGTGTGGAGTTTGCATGTTCACCCTTTGTTGCCGTGGGTTTCCTCCGGGTGCTCCCCCGGGTGCATTTATTTTAAAGATTAAAACAGGCTTGAGATTGTAATCGGTAAAACGTAAGCTATCAAACTTACTCTGCATTGTTTTGGGAAACTTTCTAAAGTGTGCATGGTCCTACCTTTAAAGAAGTATAGCTTTCTGTCTAGTGGATTGAAAGCAGCAGCTTCAATGGTGACAGACAGCTGTGGCCAGCGGGTCTGCAGCAGACAAGGATCGCTCACACTGCCGTTAGACACCGACCAGAAACGATAGCCCTGGAACACCAGCACGGCCCCATTCTCATCTACAGAAAAAAACACAGATAATCAAACACTGCATCCCAAATCCTATAGTGCCAACCTGATTTTGCTGGATTACATCTATCTTGATCCTGGAACAACATTCCAATCAGCCTATCAGAATTCAGGGATGCGTTTACTGTTTATGGCAAGTTTAGGCTTACGATTATGCACTTCTACATGGTTGCAGGGGCGCAACTACACATTTACTGAGGGGTATGCGGGTTCAAGTTGATTACATTTTAAAACAAAAATGATGTTCCAGGATCAACATGGATAATGGCTAATTCAGGATCGCATCGTACTTGGCAAAATCATGGTTTGAATTTCCAGTTCAGGGCTCAACAATAAGGACTGCCCGGTGGCCCAGGGCCAGAGTGAGAGACACTTGGGACAGTAGACCGGATCATTACTGGCCCGATTGGGACAGTGCTGCCTTGTCACTAACATTTAATTTGTCTGTGACTATTTATCAATTGCGTGCATTTTAAGTTTGCGCTTTTAAGTCTTTAAACACTACCTTCTCTGTGATGTCGTAAACACCATATTGCTTTCCGGTTCCTCTTATCTGATTGAGAATTCTATTTTTTTCCGTAACCTGGTAACCAGTACAGCGAAGAAATGGCAACATGGTGGCAACATCACATTCTAAGGCTAAAAGAAAATGTTTCTAACATCTTGGAAGCAGAAATTTACGTGTGAACAACGCAACAAAACAAAAAAAAAACACAGTTGCACAGTTTGCCGTCAGTTTGACAAGTCAGCCATACTTTGTTTAATAATTTCAAACCGCAATAAAATACCTCCACATTTTCCATACTTTTCTTTTCTGTTTGCTTTAATTTACAATTTTCTAAAAGTATTAAAATTCTAGATTCACAGACTTTATTTTTGACACATTATTTAAAATAACTTCCCTTTTTTTTGTTGGTGGGGCCAGTGAAAATTTTGGCAGGGCAAGTAAAAATCTAAACCACTGCCCCGATCAGACCCATAGAAAAAATCCTTAGCGTTAAACCCTGCAGTTAGTAAAAAAATATAAGTGTTTCAACTATATTCGCTGTTTAGCGTGTAAGTTAATAAGTGCAGAAGTACATTACTGTATAGTGCCAAGCTGATTTCAAAAAGTAGGACATGCTGCTGGATTGACATCTATATTGATCCTGTTGCACCTGCAGACCAGGGGAAACTTAAACCCCTCCCCCACTCACTAATACACTGCAGCAGACAGCGGGGGATGGGTTTGCATTATTTATTGAAAAATAAGGGCTTACATTTTTTTTTCACAACAATAACAGACAATGTCTGACACATATAGTCGACCAATCACATCAGACTGTCATCAAATCAATCACCACAGATTAGCTTCACACAAAAAATGAGGAAAAATGAATCCCCGAACAAATCAAATGGGAGTCGTTGGAATATTTAAAGGGCACCTATTGTGCAAAAATCACATTTATAAGGGGTTTAAACACAGTTGTGTATGAATATAAGCAGCCTCTAATTGTAAAC